CGGGGCTTTAAAGAACAATTAGTTTTAAATGCAGTTGCTACAAACTTTTTTTGGTAATGCTGGAGACAGAATGCAGGACCTCATGCATCTAGATAACACACTCTACTAAGCTAGCCCTAGCCCTAATTTTATATAGGTTTTGTCATTTTTTATACTCTTCATAAAGAATACCTAGGATTTGTGTAAGGTTCTATAAACAGTGATGTACTTGATTTTTTTTCCCTGCCAAAAGGCTAGGCAGTTTTGAGGATTATGGCTTGCTGAGAATGATACAAAGGAAAACTATAAAAGTAGGCTGCAAAACTGCCTGCTTCTTTTGGAAATATTAATAGCTTATGGGGGTCCATCATCTGTCAATGAGCCTCTGAACTATTGCTGAGTTTCTTTTTCTGTTTTAGGGATAGTGTAAAAATACATTTTTAAAGAGTCATTTTTAGTGCGTGCGTGCATTGTGGGGCAGGTATATGCAGGTACTGAGAAAGTGTTGGATACCCCGGAGCTGGTTTTGTATGTGGTTGAGCTTCCTTATGTGCTGGGAACTGAATTCTGATCCTCTGGAAGACCAAGTTTGCAGTCATAACTACTGAGCCATCTCTTCAGCCTCTCAAACATTTTAAATGAAGAGATGAATGGTATCCTTTCTTTTCTTTACCATTTGTTTTAGATTCTCAGTACTTGTCACCATAATCAACTCTTACCTTTCAAATCTATTTTTATTGCCAATGCTAATTATAATTAAAGCTTTTTTCCTGTTGTGATATTTTATTTGTGCTCCAACAAATAAAACTTATCTGGGGATCAGAAGACAGCCAGCCACTAGATTAGACATAGGGGCCAGGCAGTGGCACGTATGCCTTTAATCAGGAGGCAGAGATCCATCCATCTCTTTAGTTCAAGGCCACACTGGGAACAGAGCCAGGTGTGATGATGGCACACGCCTGTAATCCCAATCCTTGAGATCTCTTGTCTTTGCTTGGGAAGGACACACACCTTTAATTCCAGGAAGTGATGGCAGGAAGCAGAAAGGTGTATGATATGAGGTGGGAGGACCAGGAACTAGAAGCTTTTAAGTAGTTCAGCTAAGACCCTTCCAGGTAAGGACTCAGAGGCTTTCAGTCTGAGGAAACAGGAACACTCCCTCTCTTTGGCTGAGGATTTCCTAGAGGTAAGACGTGGCTGGCTTGCTCTCTCTGATCTCTCAGATTTTACCCAATATCTGGCTTCAGGGTTTTTATTTTTTTTTATTAATAAGACCTTTTAAAATTCGTGTTACATTTTCCCTTTCAAATTTTCAAGTTAAAATTACCGCTTTATAGGGGTTGGGGATTTAGTTCAGTGGTAGAGTGCTTGCCTAGCAAGTGCACGGCCCTAGGTTCGGTCCTCGGCTCCAGGGGTGGGCGATTACAGCTTTATAGAAAACTGCAGTACAGGTCTGGATCTGGGGCTGTATAACTCATTGTTGAGTATTTGCCTAGCATGTACGAGGCCTTGAGTTTGATTATTAGCACCACAAAAGAAGGGCAAAAGGGAGAGAGAAAAATAGGAATTGCATATGCTGATCTTAAATTAATAGTCATTTCTAGAGAAGTTAAATATAATTTGTAAGAATTATTGAACCAGTTGTGATGCCTCATACCTGCAACTCTGGCATTTATCTCAGCAAAAAACCAAAATGATCACAATCAGGTACATTTTTTTCCTCCCTTTAAATTGAATAATTTTGTTAAGCCTAATAATGTTATACAAATGTCTATTCATTAGTGTTTTACACATTACAAAGTGCAGTTTTTACAAAAAGACTTACATATAGTAATTGTGTAAGTAGAACATCAACTGAATTTTAGTTTTCATTACATAAAACTAGTTTGACTAATTTAAAGCATTTTATTACAGATTAGTTGGGATTTTGTTGGAAAGGAATAATGATCCACTTATTAATTCAATTACAAAGAAAGTGTCAACTAAAAAAATCTCTGGCAAATACAGTATTTAATTTGAAGGTCATGCCTAAAACCTTACATAGTATGTGCCAGATGTATGTTATATGTAGACTTACTGGTTTTTTTTTTTTTCTGTGTGTCTTGACAGGAAATGCACAATTTTGAGGACGAGTTAACGTGTCCCATTTGTTACAGTATTTTTGAAGATCCTCGAGTACTACCATGCTCTCATACATTTTGTAGAAATTGTTTGGAAAATGTTCTCCAGGCATCTGGTAACTTTTATATATGGAGACCTTTGCGAATTCCACTCAAGTGTCCTAACTGCAGAAGTATCATTGAAATTGCTTCCACTGGTATAGAATCCTTACCTGTCAATTTTGCATTAAGAGCAATTATTGAAAAGTACCAGCAAGAAGACCACCCAGATGTTGTCACCTGCCCTGAACATTACAGGCAACCATTAAATGTTTATTGTCTACTAGATAAAAAATTAGTTTGTGGCCATTGTCTTACTATCGGCCAACATCACGGTCACCCTATAGATGACCTTCAAAGTGCCTATCTGAAAGAAAAGGATACACCTCAGAAGTTGTTTAAACAGTTAACTGACACACACTGGACAGATATCACTCGTCTTATTGAAAAGCTTGAAGAACAGAAATGCCATTCTGAGAAAATGGTTCAAGGTGATAAGGAAGTTGTTATCCAGTATTTTAAGGAGCTTACTGATACATTGGAACAGAAAAAAAAATATTTTTTGGCAGCTCTCTGTGATGTTGGCAAGCTGGTTAGTCAAGAATACACTCCACAGATTGAAAGGGTGAAGGAGATAAGAGAGCAACAACTTGAGCTAATGACAGTGACAACATCTTTACAAGATGAGTCTCCACTGAAGTTCCTAGAAAATATTGATGATGTCCGCCAGCGTGTGCAGATGTTGAAACGAAGACCACTTCCTGAGGTGCAGCCTGTTGAAATTTACCCTCGAGTAAGCCAAGTACTAAAAGAGTGGAGCAGAACAGAAATTGGACATATTAAGAAAGCTGTCATTCCTGAAATGAGAATTTCTTCAAAAAGGATGTCATATTCCTGGCCTGACAAGGATGAAAAAGAAATGGAATTTTTTAAAATTTTAAATATTGTTATAGTGTCACTAATTTCAGTGATATTAATGTTGATACTCTTTTTCAGCCAACACATAATCACCTTCTTAAATGAAATCACTTCAACATGTTTCTCTGAAGTCTCTTTGTCTCTTTACCAAAGTTTATCTAATAACTTATATGACTTAAAAAATACGGTATGCTACACTTTATATTTGTTAAAGGAATTCATGTGGAAAATAGTTTTTTCGTTTGAAAACCCAAATCAGCAGTTTTAAGTGGACTTATTCAGTATAGCAGAGGCTAACCATTGCTAGATGGAAGTCAGGGTAGCAAAAGTAGCAAATTTATAGAAATATAAGCCTTCCATGATTGGATAGAAATGGTGGTCAGAAATGATACATTATCTGAAAGATGACTCATCCACTTAGAAAATTATAATTTTTGATATGAAATAGTTTATTTGCTTGGTAGTGTTTTAAATATTCTTTAACAAATTTTTTTTGTTATATGTTGCAGGAGTTAGCATTGCAGTTCTTTGTATATGTAGTTATTAAACAAAGCTTTTCAATGTATAGATGGAGGTGGTAAAAGTTATAAAAAATCAGGCCAGGATTGCTTAAACATCTTTTTGGTCAAACAATTGTTAAAGATTTAAGAGCATTCATTCCAAATAGAGCCACCGCTTTTGGATAAATCGGGTGTCTAGTACTTATTTTATATAAACTGATTGCATTTAGGAGCTAGCTGAGTTTAATGGCTGGAGAATCTCTAAGTCAGGGTCAGCCTGGATATCATATTGAGATCTCCAAAACCAACCAAACAAAAAGGTTTAGTGGCAGAGCCCCTGCCTTTTCTACTGGCTCTAGTACCACAAAGCAAAACAAGTATATATTTTGCTTTTGTAGTGTTTTAGTCTTGTTCTTAAACTATATGAAACATTTACATTAGGACAATAATGTTGATGTGATTCATTTAATAGATCTGGTATCATGTAAGCTATATTTGTCTTAAAATGGTCTCACTCTGTAGCCCTAAAGTGCTGGGAATTATAAGTATGAGCTGCCATAACTGGCTAGTCTTAAAAGAGCTCAGTAAGTCAGAACCTTTAATTCCCTTAACAGGGACTACTAGAATGATATTTGCAGCACAACTGGTTCACTGCCATTGAAATATTTTCCAGAAATCCCTTGAACCACCACCTGTGGACCTTATTTTAGAGGTCAGAATAAGAATGCTTTTAGCCCTATTGATTCATTATAGATAAAGCTGTGTTCAAGTCAAGGTTAAAACAATGCTGAGAAGTTTATCACTAAGATTAAGTCATTAGGTCTACTTAACAGAATCAGATTTGATCCAGCATAATTTCAATATCCTGAGGCCATTTGGAACAGGTAATGGAGGGGAGGGGGAACAATGTTCAGTTAACAGACACATGTGTCACACGTGAGTGCTCTTTTTAAATGTTAGCAAGCAAAGGTTAGCTAAGACATTTTTCACGGGGGTTACTAACTATAAATGAGAAACCCAAGTAATGCAGTGCCATGTTAACAGGTAGGAGAACTCATTCTCAATATGCTTAAAAAAAATGGAGTAGGCTAAGATTGTTTATTAACTGAAACTGACATTTCAATCTAAACAAGTATATGCCTAGTGTTACCTTATACCGGACCATTTTTAGTACACAACCCTTTGTTTTCTGGTAAGAGTTACTATACTTACTATTTTATTTAATTTTTCCCAGGCGGTTAAGATCATAAAATTTAAAGCACACACATTTGGAAATTCTGGGTTTTATGTGTAACAATATATTTGAATAAACTTGGTATTTTAGTGAATGGCTTAGGAAGTGGTGTCTTTGAATTTCCATACGGCTTCTGAATATTCTTTCCTGAAAAGTTAAGATATAATTCATTCATTTTCATTACTTGTGTGCTGCTAATTTGTAGTGGCTTTATTATGAATCATGGTCCATGGTAGGAGGCATTTAATTAATTACTTTAGGATAAGCACCTAGAAATTTAATAAGACAAATACTTTGTTGTTTGAGATAGGAACTCACCAGGTAGACCATGCAGGCCTCTTACTGCTGGGATTAAAAGGCATACACCACCACACCTGGTGATGGCAGACTTTAAATTCAAATTCCTTCTGAAAATGCCAATTTATTTCTACTAGCATAACCTTCTTTAGACAATACAGTTGAGTGTAGTGGGGGCATTCTGACTACAAGATTTACACATGCAAACATCTGCTTTTACACTTCTGTGTCTCATGTCATCCCATGACACCTCCACAATCCCCAGTTCTCACTGAACTCAGTTTATGGATTAGCCTACATAGGTAGTCCATGATCCTCAGGCATGGTCTGGCCTGCCTCCATGACCCTTGGATTACAGCTCTATTAAAAGAGATAGTGGAATACCTGTAATGCCCATTATGGCAGAAGAGAATCAAGGTGAGATGGGTTACACTGAGCACTGCCAAGCAAAAACACCCTCATTGGCGTGCCCTTCACAGGAATGCTGATCTGGTCCCCACCACAGGCATGGGAGAGTTGGCCCTGTTGACATGGGCCTAGGAGAGCTTGCTCTGCCTCTCAGGCCCCCATCTGCCCCATCTTTGACCTGCTGGAGTATGTGAAGGGACTGGTCCCTCTGAAGGATTACAGCAGGATGTCCAAGAGGAGTTTCGGTGAGGGTCTAGTGATGATGGTGTGCCAGAGGCCTTGGAACAGACCAATACTCATTGCAATGAACGTTTTACAGCTGGGGCTTACCGGACAAAAGGGCATGCATGACACACCACAGCTCCTGATGGCACTAGGATGAATGAAGAGGTGTTGGAATGATGGAGGAGTATTATGGTTATTTTTGTTTTTAATTTTTTGGGAGTTATGCTGAAGGGGGTAAGAGGCAGATATGGAAGGACTGGGAGGTAAGCGGGATTGAATTTGCATGTGAAATTCCCAAGGAATCAATAAAGAATTATGTTAAAAAAAAATCAAGACCAAACCAGCTAGACTCATTTTTATGATACAGAACTGGATACAATTTTTTAGACATTATCACTAATAAAACAGAAACCACTTGTCATACAACTTAAAGGAAAAGGTACTTTATACACCTTACAATTCTTTACAGTTAGAAACCTAGAAATACTAAATCTAGGTAAATTTGAAGACTCTTCAATATATACAAGTTCAGCCAAGTCCTTTAGATGCAATTTCTTTTGGGTTCACAGCAACACTTTTTGTAATATTGTATGTTTTATAAATTCCAATAAGTCTATCTGAGATCTCAAACATATTATTCCGAAGAGAAATTATTATGAACTGGGCATTTTTTGTTTGTTCCTAAAAAGAAAAAGAACAGTTAAGTCATATAGTGAATAGGCAAGCATTACTCCAAAGTTTTGGGCAATAATTCTGACAGATGATTAACATATTTGCACTGATAAAGGACAATTCATAAATGTTGAGGTTGAGAGGAATTTGGGTAAAGTTAAAATCCCGATAGCAAGAAATAAAATTTCCAAAGATTTACTCACATATATGTAAAATGCAACAATGGACACATTTTTAAAATCCAGGGCTGCATCGATCTCATCCATGAAGTAGAGGGGAGTGGGTTTGTAGTGGTGAAGAGCAAACACTAAGGCCAATGAACTAAGGGTTTTCTCTCCTCCTGAAAGGTTAAAGATCTTCTTCCAACTTTTCTTAGGTGGTCGAACACTGAAATAATTAAGAAATGTTACTAAATGCCTTGTAAAACTAAGGCTAAAACTTCAAAAGTGTTCTAAATCTGTATGTCTTCACAACGTAATGACCTTTTGTTTTTTCTTAAAACCTGTGATCCTCCTGTCTAAACCAGATGAGTGCTGGGATTACCTGTACACATCCCCATGGCCTGGCTGTTGACCTTTTTTTAATCTAGTTAGTTTACAGAAATGTTATTGGAAGATGAACATGTTAGGAATAGCTACCAGAATTTTATTTTTTAGATTGTGGAGACAGGGTTCTTTGGAGACAGGGAAAATGCCTGCTTCTGGCTCCTGAGTGCTGGGAAATTAAAGGCATGTGCCACTGCTGCCTGGTCATCTACCAGAATTTTTTTTTTTTAAGACTTATTTATTATGTATACAGTGTTCTGTCTGCATGTATGCCTGCACACCAGAAGAGGGAACCAGATCTCATTATAGATGGTTGTGAACCAACATGTGGTTGCTGGGAATTGAACTCAGGACCTCTGGAAGAGCAGTCAGTGCTCTTAACTTTTGAGCCATCTCTCCAGCCCCATCTACCAGAATTTTAATATTAAAACAGTAAGCTAGCTACTACTTGTTAATTTCTCTTAACCAATTTTGTAATAGATTAAAACTATTTTGCTGTTGATGGAGGCCGTACTACCTTGTCTGAAGGTCATTTCAATGTTGCCTAAGCCTGGCTTTCTGGCCTGTGAACTTCGGTTTTTGCTCCCATCTCCCTGTTGTGATATGCCAGGATTATAGATGTTGGCATACTGCATCTAGCTTTGAAGAAAATTTCCTTTTTTTTTTTTTTTAAGATTTATTTATTTATTATGTATACAGTGTTCTGTCTGCATATATACCTTCAGGCCAGAAGAGGGCACCAGATCTCATTATGGATGGTTGTGAGCCACCATGTGGTTGCTGGGAATAGAACTCAGGACCTCTGGAAGAGCAGCCAGTGCTCTTAACCTCTGAGCCATCTCTTTAGCTCCCAAACAAAAATTCCTTAAAAGATAATCTAGCCATTGTATAACATAATTTGCACATCTTTTATGCTGTAAACTCACAAGGTACATAAGTTGTATTTATCACCAAATAAAAGAAGTTGTAGTTCCAACCTTCACATCTCACTCCCAAGAAATATTAACAATTTAGAAAATATGTAGGATTCAAATCTTACAAACCTGAACATGATTCCTTCTGAAAAGGGATCCAAACTATCCACAAGCTCTAGCTCAGCATCCCCTCCCAAAGTAAGCATCTGGTAGTTTTCCTTTAATTTATTTGTTATTACATAAAAACCTGCCATAAATTCATTCAGTCTTTGTTTTCGAAGATCTTCATATGCTTGTCTAAAATTATCTCTTTCAGAAGTAATTTTGTCCAACTCTGCTACTCTTTGCAAATATAATTCTTCCTGTGAAGATTGTAAAAAAGAGTTTACACACAAATCTGAGAATTAGCATTGCTCATTATGCAAAAATCAAAGAAAGGCCTTAATTTAGACTAAGCAAAATTCCTAATAGAAATAATTCACTCATACCTTTTTTTTATACTCTGCAATGGCACCAAGATTTGGTTTCATTTCATGACATTGAGTTTCCAAAAGTGCAATCTGATTTGTTATAGAACCTGGATCCTTGATTGCCTCAAGATCCTCTGGGCTTAGAACTGACACTGTCTCAACAGGATTATCTTCTACAGGATGCAATTTTATTTTTGAAATCTAAGGAGAATTGAGACGATAAAAACAGGATGAATTTTTTATTTGTGTATCGATGTGTGTGTGTGTGTGTGTGTGTGTGTGTGTGTGTGTGTGCGCGCGCGCGCTGCGCGCAGGCGTACACACGCACATGTCATGTTTGTAGATGCCATAGATACCAGAAGAGGGTATCAGATTCTGTGGAGCTCTTGGTTGGTTTAAACCATTTGATACAGGTTTTGGGAACCAAACCTTGGGTCCTCTGCAAAAATTTCAAGTGCTTGTAACTAGTGGGCTATCTCCAGCTCCCAGTTAATTTAATTAAGTCAAAACATAAAAATTGACAGCTACAAAAACAATATAGGAATAAACCGTGACTACTTTGCATATAAGTTGTAGGCTGAGAAGGTACTTGCCCTATTGTAATGATTACTAATTTTATGTATTAAATAATTCTAAATTATATCATTTATAAACATAAAGTGATTATGGAATCACAATATACCCCCCAACCAGAAAAACACTCACCCCTACAAAACAAAAGGATATATATATATTTTAAATAGGTACAAGTGTTTGTCTGCATGTACGTATATGCACCACGTGTGCCTGGTGTCCCTGGAGGACAGGAAAAGGGTGTTAAATTTCCCAGAATTGGAATTACAGATGGTTGTGATTTGGTGCATGGTGCTAGGAATTGAACCCGGGTTCTCTACAAGAGCAGGAAGTGCTCTTAATTACTGGGCTATTTCTCCAGCTCTGAGCAGAGGTTTAAAATTAATTAAATGGGAGTAATCTCACCTCTTTTTGCCAGTATTTTATTTTAGAATTATGTTCAGCAATGTGGCCATCTATCTGCTCAAGTTTCAACTTAACACTAAGTGCATCTTTCTGAAGAGCATGTTCATTTTCTTGAATGACTTTTAGTTCCTGAAGTAGATTACGATGTTCTTTCTGGATTTCTGGTAATGACTCCTAAAAACCAAGAAGAACTGTGACAAATACCATTTCTACAAGTGAAATAGGTATTTTTACATTACGCAGACATCGTTAGCAATTTCTCTTCATGTCTCACTTTAATAAAAATTTTGATTTGCAGAAAATTCTCATATTTTGTTATAAACTTTAAGTTCATAGTCATGAAATTTTGAACGTACACCAACACTTTAATTGCTTCAAATGTCATTTATCTTGTAAAGCAGAAACAAACCATACCTCTGCGGCATTTGTATTTTTGATGACTTCTTCTGCTTTGTCTTCAATATTTTTTAATTCTGCTTTTAAATCATTTGTTTCTTTCTCAGTGTCTTTTATCTCTTTCTCTGTGCGGAAGACAGAATCTTGTGCCTTTTTAAGATTTCTAAAGAAGCAAACAACATAAATTTATGATATTTAATGTGTAACTTTAAAATTTGTGAATTACTGAACCAACCATCCTTGGTTTTTAGTTTTATGTAAATACTTAAAGCCCAAGGTGCATGTTTAAAAATTAAAAATTTCCATAAAGCCTTCTCACATAAGCTTCTAGTAGACTTTGTTGCAGTTATCTATTAGATTACAAAACTCTTTCAGCATCCAACAAGGTTTTTTCTTTTTTGAGACAGGGTCTGTTTGAATTCACAGAAATCTGCCTGACTCTGCCTTCTGAGTTCTGGGGTCTCTGGGATTACAGGAGTATGCCACCATACCCAGCCCAGTGGGTTGGTTTAATAATTAAAACAAAAACAAGCCAGGCAGTCATGGCATACCTTTAATCTCAGCACTTGGGAGGCAGAGGCAGGCAGATCTCTGTGAATTTGAGGCCAGCCTGATCTACAGAGCGAGATCCAGGACAGCCAGGGCTACACAGAGAAATCCTGTCTTGAAAAACCAAACCAAAACAAAACAAAACAAAAAACCACCAAAAAAAAAAAAAAAAAAAAAAAAAAAAAATCAAAACCCCCAAAAAAAACCTCTCTTAAGCCTACTTTCTGCTCTAACAAATGTTTTTCTAGCTTTTTACTTTCAGCCAAATGGATCAACATATAATCAATATACAAGTAAAAAAAAAATGATCTTAAAAGATTTGATTTAGAGCCTTTTCTTGTCACTTCCTGTTTTAATTAAGACCTGGCTCTGTTACATTCACTTCTCTATGCCAGAGAAACGAGACTAATGTCTATGCCTTGAACAACTAGGTTATGATGTACAACTCCAACTTTTGTAAGGTATACCTGTTTACCAGTTTGTGTTTCTTTTTAAATTAGACAAATGATAAATCTTCATCACAACTTTTTCCTTCTCAAAGTATTGCTGGATTATGGCAGTTAAGTTTAATAAGTAGCATCCAATGCAGCATTAACTACTCTTTCCACTGTCCAGAAAGGGGTGAGGACGGGCTGGGGAGGTACTCTACCTGTCAGCAGTCTTGATTGCTACCTGGGCTTTAGTAATAGCAGAAGCACATTCATCCAGCTGCTTATTTATCATATCGAGTTTGGTTTGTTGGGCCTTGAGTTTTCGGTTGTTGATTTCTATGATGGTATCGTGTAATCGCTTAACCTCAGCTTCTACTTTACCAGCTTTCTCAGCCACAGCGTCATATTCTGAAATTAAAAAAATGACACAGCTGGATTCATTTTTCTGTTAAGTAACTATCATTTGGTGGATGCATATTTCTTCAGTTACTCAATCTGATACATGGTATCAAATATGAGACATTTAGGTAAAGACCTAGAACACCTTTTAAAAAAAATGTTTTTTTTTTTTTTTTTTTTTTGTTTTTTCGAGACAGGGTTTCTCTGTGCAGCTTTGCACCTTTCCTGGAACTCACTTGGTAGTCCAGGCTGGCCTCGAACTCAAAGATATCCGCCTGGCTCTGCCTTTTTTTAACATATGAAGTTAAACTCTGGCTAAGTTGTTGAACCCATTTATTTCTTAGTGGTTTTACTTTCTCATCCTTTCCTAAAGCACTTCACTGAATATCTGATACATGACTTTTGCCCTAAGACTAGCTTTTGTCAGGTCTGAGAAACTGGGTGTTTTATTTTGTTTAACTAAACAGTCTTCCACAATATTACCAAGTGAAGGACACAAGATGAACGAGTGGGTCTTCCCTGTTCTAAAAGCACATCCCAGGTTTTCTTAGGCCAAATCAACTCAAGTTAGCTGTGCAATGAAGGCATGAATGATGAACTGATCGGCTTTTGCCGGAAGTCAGTTCCTTAGTATAAGCAGTGACTAATTTTGATGATGTGGATTGCACATGCTTGTTGACAGTTGAAGTGATAACTTTCTCAATTTGAAAGATAGAACTTTAAGTGGTAGCTATAGAAACTACTCTTTAATGCTGAATCTAGGAACTTATATAAACAAAACATTACCCTGTTACATATCTCATCCATTATGACCATATGCACGCGAAGTTAAACAATAGCAATTGCCTTTTTCAAGGGTAAGTTACAAATTTGTTGATGGAATTATGTTGATCTTACATGATCATTGTGGTTAAATTTCCATTAGGTTGCCTGAATGCTCAAGAGCTCCAATATATCTGCCCCACCATCATAGCAATTGGTGAATAAGTAAGGTATGCCACTGAATCTCTTCCTAGGAAGATTTTTATCCTTTTCCTTGTTTTCATGTATCTACCACACATTCTCTGTAACATGTTGTGGGACAATCTTTTTGTACACTGTAAAGATGTGTCTCTGCCTAAGGCGCCTTCTGATTGGTTTAATAAAGAGCTGAATGGTCAAGAGCTAGGCAGGAGAGAATAAGGGGGGAGGACTCTGAGAAGAAGAGAGGAGAGGCCAGTGAGACACTGAAGAAGTTAGACATACAGTACAGAGAAGAGGTAACTGAGCCACTTGGCAGAACATAGACTAATAAAAACAGGTTAATTTAAGTTATAAGAGCTACTTGGGAAAAAGCCTAAGCTAAGCCAAGCTTTCATAATAAGTCTGTTGTTATTTGTGAGTTGGTGGCCCAAAGGAAAGTCAGACTACAGTTGGCACCCCACCAAATGTAATTTTTTTCTCAGCTTAGCAGCTGCAAACGAATCTACTGATATTTAAATTACCATTTGTGGTCCACCCCCCCACCCCCCCCAGTCAGTGCTTGCTGGCCACTTAGAGTGCAGCCTGTGATCTGTAGTTTAAACTAAGTTTCTATCATTCTATTTACCAACAAAGACTTGGAAGTCTGCTAGATCAGAGAAGTTGAGAAGCAACCAGCTGACCTTGCTTTTTGGCCAGAGACCCAGCAAAAGATGCATTTCTTCCTTGTCTTGAAAGACTTTGCCAAACTATAGTTCCTTTCCTCCTTTATGTCTTCTTTGTCCAAATTCCTGGCCTCTCTATGGCTGATTCTAGTCACCTGGTCGATGGCTCTGCCTCTATTCAAGATTTAACTTTATTGGCAATCTCGGGAGTATCAGAGTGTAATCAAAATATCCCACAACAGTAATATTAATAGTAATATGTCTATCAGCAATACAAGGGTAACTATAGTGTGGTGATGTATTCCTCTAATACTCCAGACCTGGGGCTGGAGGATTAAGACTTCAAATGCACCTTGAGCTACATAGTGAGACTTTGTCTCCAACTTATATAGGAAGGGAAAAATTGCATATATTGTTTGTAATTTTGAAGGTTTTATTTAAAAATTTATCTTAAAATTCTATGTCTAGTTTCAATGTTTACTAGTGCCATTGTTAATTTAAAAATATGGATACGTTCAAGAGTTAAAAAGTAAATTACTTGGGGCTGAAGATATGGCTCAGCAGTTAGAAACATTGGCTGTTCTTCCTGAGGTAGGTCCTGAGTTCAATTCCTAGCACATACATGGTAGCTCAAAACTGTCCATAACTGTAATCTCATGGGATCCGATGCCTTCTTCTGGTGTGCAGATGTACAAGCAGACAAAACACCTATATACATAAAATATACAAACAAATCTTTTTTTTCCCCCTGGGGGAAAAAGTTTAGAGACAGTGTTTCTTTGTGTAGCCCTGGCTGTCCCTGGAATGCTCTGTAGACCAGGCTGGATTCAAACTCACAGAGATCCATCTATATGCCTCTGCCTCCTGAGTGGTGGGATTAAAGGCATGCACCACCACCGCCCAGCACAAACAAATCTTCTAAAAAACAATAACAAAACAACTAGTTACTTATTAAGAAGAACTTAATCACTGTAGTTAATTCTTGCATATATTACTGTAACAATAGCAACTATTCTATCCTTTTATTCCCCTTAGTCTTATCACTGCATTTTAGCCAGAGTATTTTTAAAGCCTACATTATAGTAAAATTAACTACTCAATCTTAATAGTTATTTCATCTTCACATCATACATTAACAGAATTTACTGATAATCTCCCGCATTTCTGTGAGAGGAGACTCTGCCTCCTGTCTGTAGACCATTCTCCAATGGTATTTTATTTCACTCAGAAACATTGGCAGGTAAGGCCCAAGGATCTGGATCATTCCTTCCTTTACTCTAGCCATGATGACTTTCTCTTGTGTACTTTAAACACTATAGAATAGCCCCACTTCAGAGTGTTTGCATTTACTTTTCTATACTCTGCTTGGAGTGGCTTTCTGACAAGTATCCACATACTAACACATTTCTTTGATCTTCTGCTCAAAGATTTCTGCCCATCTTAAATATAAAATAATTGAAAAAAAAATTGAATTTACCATTCTTAGTAGCACTCAGTACAAAGCCTAGCCTATAGTAGATGCTAGACAAAGGAATGCCTCAACATTAAAAATAATAACAGCCTGGTGGCGGCGGCCCACACTTTTAATCCCAGCACCCGGGAGGCAGAGGCAGGCAGGTCTCTGTGAGTTCGAGTCCAGCCTAGTCTACAGAGTGAATTCCAGGATAGCCAGGAGTATTACACAGAGAAATACTGTCTCAAAAAACAAAACAAACACCACCACTAACAACAACAGATAAACATGGCCACATACTTGTAAAATGTAGTTTTAAGTGAGTATTTGATGGGCAGAGCTGATCTGTCCACTTTAATTTGTTGAATACACATATTTATATAAAATATATGTGTGTAGGCAGAGTCCTTGCAGCCAAACTTGGTGACCTGATTTCAATTCCTGGAACCCAGCATATCTTTTTATCTCTGTGTTGAGGAAGACAAGGCCCCCTATATTCTGGGAAATTGATTTGGATGATCAATTCTTCATTAGTTGTCTTTGGGGTTCTCACTATCTTGCCTGGCCTGGTTTTGAATTCCTGAGCTCAAGTAAATCCTATGCCTCAAGCTCTACAGCTCCAGATGTGTACCACTGTAGCTGAATTGAGCTCTCCTCAGGTTTTTGGGGCAGACAGTATTTGCCTTCCGTGGCTCATGAACCAGACACTGACAGGGATGCCTAGTACGGATGATAGAAGGAAGACCCAATACAAATTCTGGGCTTACCAGCTAAGATCCTGTGAGGCTAGAAGGCGTATGGCATAACCTTGCAGTCAAGAGAGAAACAATATACTGAAATACTTGGTCAAGGGACTTCCAGCACATCTACAAGGGACTACAAAGCCAAGCACATGCACAGCTTTCCTTTCTTAAAGCTTCTATTCGGGCAGACATGTGCTATAAGAAAGTCAAAGAAAGCATTTTTAGCTAAGTCTTCAAATAAGGTTTACTGTTTACTTGCTGTGTGCTCTTCTTCGAGTAATTTACTTTCTTCAATTTTTCAGATTTCTAAATGTATTTTTTCTTTTAAATTTTGTGTATGGGTCTGTTGTCTACATGTACATAAATGTACTGTGCATGCCTAGTGCCTTCAGAGGCCAGAAGAGGACACTGATCCTCTGAAACTAGAGTTAATGGAATCGAACCCAGGTCCTGTGCAAGAGCAACCAGTGCTCGAATCACTGACCCACCTCTTTAGCCCACAATCTATTATTCTAATTGTAACTATCTTGAAAAAAACTGAGCATAAAATTAAGGACATGGGCTCTGGAATTAGAGCATGTTACCTAGTTCCCTATCATCATATGTCATGTGACTGACTAGATTTATATGAATTAAATAATACCAAAAGTTAAATTAAATCAGTATAATGGCTTGCAAGCGACTTAACTATAATTTGTTATCCTATAAATTGCTTGAGTACAGCAAATTTTAAAAGTCTTTGATAAAAAAATTTATTTTTGAATCTCTGTGAGTTTGAGGCCAGCCTGGTCTACAAAGTGAATTCCAGGATAGGCTCCAAAATCTACACAGAAAAATCCTGTCTTCAAAAACCAAAAAAAAAACAAAAAAAAAAAACAAAAAACAAAAAACAAAAAAACAACCCCCCCCCCCCCCAAAAAACCTTTAAACATACCTTTTTTGAAAGCACTGACATTTTCTTCTAGCAATTTCTGTTTCTTTTTATCAGGGGCTGTAGTAAGCACATTAGTTTCCAGTTCTTTAATTTGTACAGTCAAATACTCTTCTTGCTCTGACAGACCCTATAAAAATAATTTAGCATTAATATGGTCAATATTTTAACTTATTAAGAGTAAATATTTCTTTGAACACGGAATTTTTCAAAAGACTTTTAAAAGACTAACAGGAAAACGATAGAAAACATCACCAATATAAAAATAAAAATGATCAGTAAACAAAATGTATGTGAATTCATTACAAAGATAATGAGTTAGAATCAATATTTAGACAACTTGGTACGAGGCAAGAAGTGCTTTAAAACAATGAAACACTACTAATTATAATTTCAGGAACTCATCTTAAGGAAATAATCAGATGTGTATAAAGACACAACTATTAATCCAAACACTTGGGAGGCAGAATTTGAGGCCAGCCTGGTCTATAGAGCTAGTTCTCAGGACAGTCAGGTGCTGTGGGATGTTCTGTATGGCAAATGTGTTGCTAATTAGTCAATAAATAAAACACTGATTGGCCATTGGCTAGGCAGGAAGCGTAGGCGGGACAAGGAGGAGAATAAAGCTGGGAAGTGGAAGGCTGAGTCAGAGACACTGTCAGCCGCCATGATGACAAACAGCATGTGAAGATGCCGGTAAGCCACGAGCCATGTGGCAAGGTATAGATTTATAGAAATGGATTAATTTAAGCTGTAAGAACAGTTAGCAAGAAGCCTGCCTCGGCCATACAGTTTGTAACCAATATAAGTCTCTGTGTTTACTTGGTTGGGTCTGAGGGGATGTGGGACTGGCAGGTGATAGAGATTTGTCCTGACTGTGGGCCAGGCAGGAAAACTCAAGCTATAGTCAGGACTACACAGAGAAACCGTCTTGAACACCCCTCAAACAAAAGAGATAGAAAAGGAAAAACATGAAATATGGCAGACAAATCAAGTAAATTTAGATATTAAGCAAAGTAAAATTAATGACATTAAAAAGATATGTATATATTATTTATACACAAATACATAAAGATACATATAAATACATTGCATGCAACTAAATTATAAAAATTGAAGCTTGTGCATTGTCGTTGAAGGTTATCATTTAGGTATTTACTGAATGATGCTTTAAAATAGAAGTAATTGGCTGCTGGACATAAGGGTGCATGCCTTCAATCCTAGCACTTGGGCAGCAAAGGCAGGCAGAACTACATAACGAGACCATTATCTTGATAAAAACCAAAAGAAGAATAAAACAAAACAATTGGTATGTATTACTCTTTCATAACAAAAAGAAACCAGGACACTTTTCAAGGAGTGATGCTATAATTGGTAATGTAGTTGCTAAGGATAGATAGTCTTATATCTAGAGTGGAAAACAGTTATCCTTTATATTTCAAAATTGGAAGCAAACCCAGAATGCTTCTTCCTAGTCCTGTTGAATTGAATTCCAAGTCTCAGCTAATGTTCAAACACTAACATAAACACATTACCTGGATGCTTGCGGTGAACTTTTCTAGTGTATTTCTCATTTCTCGTTCACTATGCCTTAACTTAACGACTGCTTCTTCATGTTGTACTTTCTGTTCTTGGATTTGCATTGCTTGTTTAGAATGTCTTTCCAACTGGGATTCCATCTTATTTACCTTTAAAAAAAAAAGAAAGAAATTTTCTCCAAGGGTCATCCCACCCCCCCCCAAATTTCTTACATTATACATTTAACATTGTGGTATACACATAGGCATATGTATGGACTGGCATGCATATCACATGACAGTAGTCAACCTGTGGGAGCTGGTTCTTCCAGGATTGAACTATGTAGTTAGGCTTTGCAGAAGGGGCCTTTACTCACTCAACCATCTTGCCTGCCCTCCAAGAGTCAGTTCAAAGTTAGTGGCATGAAATGAAAACAACCAGGGCTGGACAGAAGGCACAGCAGTTAAGAGCACTTCCTGTGGGCTACAGTTTGATTCCCAGTCACTATATAGTGGTTCACAACCCTCCTGTAACTCCAGTTCCACAGGACCCAATACCCTCTGTGGCCTTCTGGGACACCAGGCATGAACATTGGTGCACAGACGTTAACACTCGAACATATAAACAAAAAAAGACTAGAATAAACACCAGATAGTGGTGCACATGTGGATTCCCAGCTATTCAGAAGGTTGAGATGAAGATTATGAGCTTGAGGCCAGCCTGGCCTAACAGAGGGAGACATGTAACCAAACAACCCAAATCCCTAATACTAAAGCTTAAGACAGTCACCTATTATTTTAATGAAAACATAACATTCAAACATTTGAGTGGAAGGATATGAACAATCTCAAAATATAGGGGAGAAATTAATGCACATTTTGGAAAAAGAAATCCAGGCTAAGAACACATTTTGGTGGCTGAGTTCATGCCTCCCCAAAGCTAGGCAATTACCTTATCACTAATCTATACCCCTAAGTCCCCAAAGCTTAAAAAAAAAAAAAAGTAATTCTGTGAAAAATGATATTAAGTAATTGACTAAATTATGAAAAATCTTTATGATACTAACTAAAAAAGACATATGCACTTATTTTTATTTATTTCTAATGGGATGCTAGGGAATCAAACCTAGGGCCTTGGGCCTGCTAGGCCAATGCTCTACTACTGTGACAGTCACCCTTCTGTAAGTATATACTTTTTAATTAATGTGTTTTGCACTCCAGAAAGGACTTAACACAATAGCTAACACTTAATGGAAACATCTGTTAACTCAAAACTGGGTATGGGCCGGCAGTGGTGGCACACACCTTTAATCCCAGCACTGGGAAGCAGAGGCAGGTGGATCTCTGTGAGTTTGAGGTCAGCCTGGTCTACAGAGCGAGTTCCAGGACAGGTTTTAAAGCTACACAGAGAACTGTCTCGAAAAACCAAAAACTGGGTGTGGTACAGTTTACAATAGCTCAATTTTGTACTAAGCTAAAAATAAAGTGACCACGACTTTACATTCTGCTAACCTCTTCCTCAGAGATTTCCACGATAACTGACGAACCCATTCTTCCTCGCATTACTTTGCTTCCACCGCCAGTCATTGTACCTGGGGAACACGGGGGCAGTCAGTTTTCACTGTCTTACCGAAGACTGAGAGAAAGAAGACAGATGGGTAGGCAAGCCACTTACCTGACTGCTCTATTATCTGGCCCTGCAGGGTCACTACTCTCCATCGTCTGTCTTTTTGATAAGCTACTCTTGTAGCTTGATCCAAGTTGTCAGCCACTAAGGTATCTCGTAAAGCAAAGTAAAAAGCTTGGCGAATTTCCTCATTGTTTACTTTAACTAAATCAAATAACCGAGGAGTATTTTCAGGAGTTTGAATTTTGGTCATTTTTTTGGCCCATACTGCCATCTAAAAGTTAAAAAATGTGTATGTAGTAAACAACCTTGTCTTCTAGGTGTTATGATACTAAATAAAATCTTACTTATCATGTTTCTATATAAAATTCCCAAGTAGTAATTGTATTTCTATACAGTAGCAATGAGCAACTTGATAACAAAAACTCACCACTAAGTTAAACTATCAAAATGCATTGATATTTACATCTACATTAGAGAGCTACAATCTACAACTCTCAGAAACATCAAGCACTCATAGCTCTATCACTTGGAAGGTCGAGAGAGGAGGACTGCTCCAAGTTCAAAGTCAGTCTAGATACCAAGTTTCAGGTGATTCAGGTATACATAGCGAGATCTTGTTTAAACAAACACACCTCTACCCAGCAAGATCTTGTCTAAACATACACACCTCTACCCAAGAAGCTAAAGAAAATACCGTTAACTGGGCCAATTGTGCTGCAAAGTACACAATCAAGAAAGTGAAAATACAACCCACCAAGTGGTAGGTTTAAATTAAAAAATACATTAAAAGCATGTATCTGACAGGAGACTTGTATATATAATTTAAAGGGTTTTTACAATTCAATAAGACAAATCAATGAAAACAGGCAAAGATTACAGACAGACATTTTCCCCAAGAAAGATAAACAAATGATTAATAAGCACACAAAATATGTTTAACATTAGAGAAATGTAAATAAAAGTAATTTGATATCACTTTACATTCAACAAGATGTGCTGTAATAAACAAGATACACCATATGATTCAGTAATCAACCCCATCCTTAGGTATCCCATCCCACATTCACACAAAATCTTGTACATGAATCTTCACCACAGCATTATTGTCGAGGTGGCCAAAAACATATCAACAACCAAGAGAACGGACAAAAAAAGATGAATAGGTAAATGCTACAAAACAGACGAGCCTGAAAAACTATGTAAATGCATTATGTGTAAAAGGCCTCATATTATGATTTCATTCAATGAATGCCCAGAATACATCCACAGAAACAAAAGCAAATCAGTGGTTTTGTTAATGCCTATGGAGCAAGGAAAATTAGTCTGGAATTAGATTAACAGCTATAGATCAGCAAGTTGTGGATATAGTAAAAATAACTTAATTCTATACTTTAAATAGAATTATATAACACATCTCAATAAAGGTTCTATTAAGAAAACAGTGGTTACTGATGGAAATTAGAAACATACTAAAAGTAAAGAGGCACAGGTAGGCTGATCTCTGTGAGTTAGAGGCTAGCCTGCTTTACAGAGCAAGTTACAGGACAGCCGGGGCTAAGCAGAGGAACCCTGTCTCAAACTCCCCACACTCCTCAAGAAACATACTAACAGTCATACATCCAATGGCCATCACACTAACACTGGCATTTCTTTAGTGGAGGCATTACAAAATTTATTTTTAACCTCCAAAATTATGTACACACAAAATCTAAAATAATTTTCAAAACTTATCAGGAAGTAATTGAATAATGGTGAAGAAAAATATAAAATTCTAAAGGAAAAATATATGGCACCTCAAAGTTAAATTATAGGAAGCGTATTATGAATACTTACCTTATCCAAACCTATAAAAGTTGCGACACCAATATTATGTCGTTTAAGGAAGTTTACACATTCCTGGGCTGTATCAATAGAATCAACAACAATGTAGTCTAATGCATGGCAACAGGATGAAATAGCAATGTCATATTTTTCATCAATAGCTCCCAAGTCTCCCTAATGATGAAAAGGAACAGAAAGTTAATTTATAAAGAAAGAAATAGATAAAAACCATACAGATCATTTCAGTACTATTCAGATTTTGAATATTCTTTTTTTTTTTTTTTTTGGTTTCTATAGCTAAGGACTAAACACAGGACCTTGTACCACTGAACTAAGTCCCCAAACCCTTGAATGTTACTTTTTTTTTTTTTTTTTTGGTTTTTTGAGACGGAGTTTTTCTGTGTAGCTTTGGAGCCTGTCCTGGAACTCACTCTGTAGCCGAGGCTGGCCTCAAACTCACAGAGATCCACCTGCCTCCCGAGTGCTGGGATTAAAGGTGTGTGCCACCACCGCCAGGATGAATGTTATTCTTAGACTAGTCTCTTTTTTTGGTTTTTTGAGACAAGGTTTCTCTGTGGATAGCCTAGGCTGTCCTAGAACTTGCTCTGTAGACCAGGCTGTCCTGGAACTTATAGCCTGCCTCTGACTGCTAGGACTAAAGGCGTGTGCCACCAACTCTTGGTTTAAGGAAGCATGAAAGGGGACTACAATGTTTCCTTCTCACCCCAACTATCTTTCCCTTTCTATAGGAGGACCAACTCAGAAGCTACTATGTGCCTTATAAGCAAGCATTCTACTACTGAGCTATATCCCAAGCCCTATAGTTTCTAATCTACCCTTTAGTGTTTATGGTTATGTGATGTGAATTGTTAATGGGAACAGGATGTAAGAATTGTTTTATTCCATGAAAGCATACAATGTAGATGAGACCTAAGAGAACGTATAAGCAAAACAAACCTTTTAACTTTCATATTGAAAGCTATCTAGAATTAAATAAGTAGTTATGAATCAATTTATCACTTAGCTATCAAGCAGCTTTCACTGACTGACTTTAGTTCTTCACAGCAAATTTATCAAATTTGTTTATCTTTAAGAAAATAAGGTAGAAGCCACCTAATGTCAGATATAGAAGCAACCATACTGGTTAAATTCTATTTGTCCTTCCAGATCATTCTGTTTCCTTTTGCAGGAGGCTGAGTAGGCAACCCATTAACTGGATCTTTGGGCTCAAGAACTGTAAGTAAAAGAAGTCTCAGTTATGGTTGCAGGGCAAGAGATGACAGAATTGAGATACTTACATTCTTTCAATTATATATTGCTCTTTCCTGTTAAGGCTCAGAAAGGTAATGGTCCCCACAACTGGAATTACCAGAGTTCTAAATTAGCTAGTTCACCTTCCTAAACCATAAGCAAACTGTTAAGTATAATGTTATAAAACCTAGACTATATTAAATACTTATTTTTGTCTAGAGGTTCTAGCAACTACTGTACACTCTCAACCAAAAAATCCAGGCCTCTCTATTTGGATGAGTCATCCCATTTGATTGTGTTGTGCAGCTTCAGGAAGGACACACTTGGAATGCTAAAGGAGAAATATAGAATAGGCATAAGCGTATTCAGCAAGATCAGCCAAACCAACCCTGGTGACTAATGGGACAACTAATCTCACAAGTATTGCCTCATATCCTAAAATTGCTTTTGTTTTTAAGATATGGTCTCACTATGTAACTCTGGCCAGCCTAGAACTCAATATGTAGACCAGGCTGGCCTTGAACTCAAGAGATCTGACTGCCTCTGTCTCCCTAGTGCTGGGATTAAAACACACACCACCACACCCAACTTCTAAATTATTACTTTTTGGAAAAAAGTTTTCTTGTGTGGTGCCAAATGTCTAGCACTTGGGAGGCAGAGGTAAAAGGATCAGAAGTTCAAGGTCAACCTTAGCTATAGAGTTAATTTAAAGCCAATCTGAGCTATATGAAATCCTGACTCAAAAATTTTCTTAGTTTTGAACAGGACAGTAATGTATAAAATAAATATAAACAGCCTGAAACTACATCAATAATGACACCAAACCTGTAAGAGCACAGTATTTTTCTGTGCAGTCATGTCTTCCTTAAATAAAAATTAATGTTATTTAGGCATAGTAACAATATATACTTAAGAATATAATTTATAATATCTTTTCAGAGCAAAATGTAACTACTTTACCAATCTTCCATATATTCCTGGGATCCTGCCAGATTTTTTTTCTTGAATTATTGCATCAAGTACTTTCCCTCTACTTCGATTTGTTGCTAAGGAACTCTTTGCTTCTTCAACTTTTTGGAAAAGATCATGAACCAAACTTTTCAAGTTTATTTCTTCTTGTGTTAGTTTCTGAAGTTCTTTTTCTTTCTAAAAGTGAGAAGAAAATGAAACCTATCAGCATATGATTTTAAATACACCCAATAATAGCAGAAAATTATTTGTAATGCTTCAATAATATTGAGAGGCCCCCAAATAGCATATGACCTAGCATAAGCTTCCATATTGCTATTTTGGCCTGGCTTTGAATATATGGAGGAGTCTTTCCTATTTTAAAAGAGGCATAAATTATTTGGGTCAACAAGTGGGAATTGAGCTCTTAAAACAGGTATAAAAATCCCAGTCTGGCACCACACAGGTGAGGTATGTACCAGTTCTCAAGTTGTGCCCTAAACAAAACCAAATCTAGGAACCAGATTCCAGGTAGGACAGCCAGGCAGTACTATAATTATGTTATGACTTTTTGGCTAAGTAAACAACAAAACAAAAAGGCACAGTTCCTAAACAGAGGGGGAAAGATGATTGGGACAGCTATCAACCAGAGGAGCCCCACAACCAAATTTAGTCTCTCCATTTCCAGTTTAGAAACAGTCATCTTGGGGGTTGGAGAGATTGCTCAGCGGTTAAAAGCACTAGCACTGATTCCAGAAGACCCGGGTTCAACTCCCAGCACCCATATGGCAGCTAACAACTGTCTGTAACTCCAGTTTCAGGGGACCCGAAACTTCCCATGGCAAAACACTAATGCACATTAAAAACCAAAAACAAACAAAAGAACAAACAACCATCGCATCTGCTATTTTCCCCTATTACTTATTACACAGACATAAAAGCTCAAATTACAGGTGAAACAATCTAAAAATAAAACAAATCAGTACAAAGAAATACTCACCCGACAGATATACTTTAAATTACAGTTAAAATTTACACATCAGGAAACTGATGATCAAGCAGTATAAATTTACTAAAATTTAAAGATACTTATTTTGGGGGCTGGAGAGATGGCTCAGTGATTAATATCACTGGCTGCTCTTCCAGAGGTCCTCCATTCAATGCCCAGCACCTACATGGCAGTTCATAACTATCTATAACCGTAGTTTCATGGGATCAGATGCCCTCTTCGGGTGTGCAGATGTATATGCAGACAAAATATCCATATACATAAAATAGACAAATAAATCTTAAAAAAACCAAAAAAACTTATTTTTAATTATGTATACCTGTGTGTGTACATGTCCCTGGAGTCCAGAAAGTATTGGAACCCCTGAACCTAGAGTCAGTTATGAACCACCCAATGTGGGTGATGGGAACTAGTCTTTTATAAGAGCAGCAAATGCCCGTATCTGCTAAGCCATTGCTCCAGCTCCTCAAATAACCACCTTGGCATTCTTAGGTTAAACTTTAAGAAACTAAAATAAGTCTGTATATTCATTTTCATTTATCTTTATGTAAGTTACCTGTATATGTAGATTTAGAGAAACACTTTTTTTTTTGGTAACAGGCTAGCATGGAATCCAGTATGTAGGCAATACTGGCCTTGAACTGACCCTTTTGTCTTTACCTCTCAAATGCTAAGGCTACAGGTACACTAATATTCCTGGTTTGATGTGGTGTTGGGGGATCATAACCAGGGTTTCAGGTAGAGTAGGCAAGTACTCTACCAACTGAGCTATATATGCAGCCTGAGAAATAAACAGATTAAATAACAAAAATAAACAGATTAAATTTTTCCCACGGGATTGTGGCAGTGTTAACTGTCTGCTTCTAAAGACAGTATGTTAGTCTCCTTGCATTCTTTTTTTTGGGGATGTATTGGGGATGGAACCCGGAGCCATATACATGCTACAGAAGCTCTCTACCAGTGACCTACACCTCTAACCCTAGTTAATTATTCATCCATTCAAACGATGAAATACTTTCTCATGCAAGATTATGTTGAGAAAAATTTCTATGTCAATCACTTTAAAGCCTGATATTAAAAACAAACAAACAAACAACAACAAAAAATCCACATATAACTCTGGGGTTGACAATGTTTAGATGAAATACAGAAGCAAAAATTTACCTCCTTTAATTCTCGTTGAGTCTGAGGGAGCTTTGTGTTTATATCTCCAATTGCAGCTTTCCTTTCTTTGAGAGTCTCAGAAGCTGTAATTAAAGCTTCCTTTGCCTTACTTAGCTGAGACACTGCTGTATTATGTCGACTGAGATAGATATCAAGTTCTGACTGAGCGACTTCCATCTTTGAACGTGCTTCATTTACTGATTTGTTAAAACCCATAAGTTCCTTTTCTTGGCTCTATTAAAATGAGTTCATTAAATATGAAATATAGTTATTTTCAAGCTTAGACAAAAATGAAAATTATACTTCTTGAGGTCACCGTAAGAAAGAAAGTCTATAAATACAGTACAAATTAAGAAATAGTTCAGGGTTGGGGATTTAGCTCAGTGGTAAAGCAAAAGTGCAAGGCTTGCTTGTTCGGTCCTCAGCTCCGGGGGGGGGGGGGGGGGGGGGGGGGTGGGGGTGGGGGGAGAAAGAAAGAATTCTTCTAAGTGGAATATATTAAAATAGTCCATGCCCAGCTGTCATCATACATTAGTCAATGGTCTTTCCTAATTGATGTCATATGAGCTTTGTGAAGTGGGTATTAGCATGCTCATTTCAGAAATTAAAATAAAAAGGTAATAATTAAGAAAAACCTTGGTCTAGATCCATATGGTCCTATATTACCAGGTGTAAGAATTACTTAGAAAGTTTCCTCAATGTATTTATGTTAAAAAAAATCTTTGCATTATGGGAAGATTTCAATCCAGTTGCATTCATTGACTCATCATTAACAAGGGTAATAGATAGGGAAAAAAAAAAACACCTCAGTGTAAATTAAATGAAGAAAATATGATTACACAGAATGGCTATATGTCCATTGACCTCATATTGTATCCTAAGTATTGACCTCATATTGGTAACCATTACAAATTCTTCTTCATTTAACAAGTTTCTTCCAAAATGAGAAAACAGAAAAAGGACAATAGTGTAGACTGAAGTTTTAGGTATGTTAAACTAAAAGGTTCAACAGTTGGAGATATAATCTTGCTTTGTAACACAGCCCCTCCCTGCCCAGGTAGCTGACCTTACAATATAGGCATGGTCTGCACTAGGCCGAAATTTATTTTTAGAAGCTCACCTTTGAACGTTATTGCAAAAATAGTCAAGTTAGGAAAAAGATACCCAAACCATCACTGACAAAGACTTTTACCTCCTTTTCTTTCTGAAGCCCTTGTGTTTCTTGTTTAAGGCTATCCATAACTTCTTTTAATTTTTTTTCTTCTTTCTCTCGGTCTTTCTCAAGAGAACTGCTTTGAGTTGTTGTCTCACTTATGATACTCTTACTCTTGGCAGGTATACTTTTCAGCTCTTCGACCTGAGATTACAAAACAAATTAGTTATGGAAATACATTCCTGAGGGTACCCAATACTATTAAAATTTACTTAAACAACCAAGTATTTCTTAGGATCTCTATTTATAGTTATCTGAAGACAGCACACACCAAATTATTTTTGTTTGCTCCCTCAACCTAATCATAAGAATCTTAAGAACTTTAACCTTTCAGAGGTACTACGTAGAGTTAATATTTTATCCAAAATATCTTCTGGTAGTAATCATATGTCAACATTTTATTCTTAAAAACTAAGGCCTCAAGGGCTGCAGAGCTGGTTCGGCAGTTAAGAGCACTTGCTGCTTTCCTAGATCCAAGTCCAGTCGCCTCTCTCAGGTGCTCACGACTGCATGTTAACTCCAGCTCTAGGGGCTCCAATATCCTTTTCTGGCACCCCCACACGCACATAACAACAACAACAACAACAAAATCTTTAAAATAAAAAGGTAATATCTTTATTGAATTTGAGCATTAGTTCGTATTACTTTTATTTTTCAGAATTTTATAAAACCTTTGTTAAGCTTTAGTGAGTAAAATATTTGGAAAAATCCTTAAAGGTCAAGCAGAAACCAAGTCTTGGGTGCTGTGTATCTATTACTATCTGATAAAACTATGACTACAGCTTGAGAGACACCAAATTACTTAGCCACCAGAGTTAGCCTAATTAGGCATTTCTATATTTTGGTCCATTTTTTTTTTTTGGTTGAGATTTTCTTACTTCTAATTTTGTATGTATGAGTGTTTATTGAATGTCTGTCTGTGCACCACATGCATACAATGCCTTCAGATGTCAGAAGAGGGCACCTGAGACCAGAGTAACAGACAGCTGTGCACTGCCACCAGGGTACTGGGAATTGAACCTAGATCTTCTCCAAGGCTAGCCAGTGCTCACTAAGCTATCTGCCCAGGCCACAATATCCATTTTTCCAACTTTAACCTCAGAATAGATAGGGTGTCACTTATAAGCCTTCTCTTTTTGCTGACTCTTTTGCAGAAGGCAGGTATCACTTTAAAGTTTATGGGGACGCTAAGACCGCTAAGTGAGTAAAAGCATTTACCACCAAACCTGATGACCTGAGTTTGATACTTGAGACCTACAAGGTGAAAGGAGTGAACCAACTCCCTTAAGTTGTCCTGTGAACTCAGATACATGCAATAGCACACGTGTATGCAGACACACTTTTGGGGGGTGGGTGTTTTTAAAAAGTGTAATAATAAAAAACCAAAATTATTCTCTTTAGCCATCTAGTACTAAGTAAGCAGAGAGAAGTAGGAGGATCTAAGGAAGTTTGAGGCCAGCCTGATCTATACAGGGAGTTCCAGGACATCCAGTGCTGCATAGTGAGAACTTATATCCAAAAGGAAAAACAAGAAAAACATCTAAAAATCCCTTTATATTACTATTTTAGGGAAAAGAAAATTATTACCACCATCAAAACAGAATTGCTGACTACAACATTATTATTAACGTAAGCTCTAAAACTAATAATGTATAACATTATCCCTTGGGACAAAATTGTGTTCAGACATAAAATACTTACAATATAAGTGTATCAATTTATTTTCTTAGGGAACCAAAGTCAAGTGAATTTAGGAAAACAACTAGATCTGATATCTAGACTTCAAAAATTGATTTTCCCCAATACTAACCTTTTCTTTATCTTTTTGAAGTTGTTTCTCCAGCTTTTTGGCTTTACTTGTAGCATGTTTTAATTTTTCCCTAATTTGAACATCTTCTAAGTCTAGCTGTGTAAATTTTTCTTTATTTTCTTCAATAAATTTTGTAACTTTATTGAGTTTCCTATCAAGGAAAGTAAATTATTAGTCACAGATACATAGTCTTTCTGGTGTATTTCATCTATAGACATGTCAAAACTCTAAAAACCTAAAACTTCCAGCTGATCTTCCCTGAAAGCTGAAGACTTTTTTTTTTTTTGGTTTTTCGAGACAGGGTTTCTCTGTGTAGCTTTGCGCCTCTCCTGGAACTCACTTGGTAGCCCAGGCTGGCCTCGAACTCACAGAGATCCGCCTGGCTCTGCCTCCCGAGTGCTGGGATTAAAGGCGTGCGCCACCACCGCCCGGCTTTTTTTTTTTTTTTTTAAAATCATGATACCTGCCTTGCATTTCTAAGGTGGAAAGACTGGTTTACCATGTCTAGGTATATAAAATGTTGTCCATAAAAATTAAAGAAATAAAACTCACTATACTATTGTCATTGAAAGTTGTCATAGAATAGGGGGCCATGAGAATTTTTAAAGTCCACCTAAAATAACCAAAATTCTACTTGTAAAATAGAATTTCAAAATCAAATTTGTAAACTATTAGGGCTAATGGGTCAGGGAAAATGCTTATGTTTTAGTTTTTTATGTATTGTGCCACTAGAGGGAAAGGCATCCCTTACTGTATGACTGTTGGGCAATCTGTAACAACGAGTTAGGTAGGGTGCCGGTGCCTGAAAGGACTATTTATTGGGAACTGAATTACATTCAATATGTTTGCAGTAAGTTTACATGTAGACACATGTGAAAACTGAATTTAAATACTTATAGTATTTTCCCAAAGATTATTACTTTTCTATATCCTTTACAGCTGAATTCTTAGCTTTCATTTCATTTGAAAGCATATTGCTCCTCTCAGTAATTTCTTTAGTATCTTCATGAATTTTTTCCTTTTGGATTTTCATTTCAGCAATTCTTTTTTGCAGATCATAACTAGAGGGGAAAGAGAATGTAAAATGTCATCAGTAAAATTAGCTGCTTTAAAAATATTCTTATTCATCAATTTATAGTAAGCTACGGCTATGGGAAGTAGGTTAAGGCTAGATAGAATTTAGGAACAAAACTGGTTCAGTCAATAAATTAGATCTATTATTCAACAGTGTATAGTAGTATCTCATGTTTTTGCTTTTCATAGTTTCAGTTACTTGTGGTAGACTATCATATGAAATTAATTGTAAATTACAGAAATAAACAATTTTAAATTGCACAGTGCCTATTAGTCTTTCCTTTGATTCAGTACACCAACATGTGCATATCAACCCTACAGTCACTTAGTAGCCATAATGGTTATCAGGATCAACTGTAAGGTATCATTAGGCTTTTGTTCAAGGAATTCTCCTTATATTTCTTAGTAATGCAAAGGGCATAAAATAAAGAGGGGCTGAGGAGATGGTTCAATTAAGTAAGAACACTTGATTATCAAGAATGAAGACCTGAGTGGGAATTCCTGCACCATGGCTAAGTGTGCTATTAACATCAGATCAGCAGGGTGTGGGGGGAGGGGAAGGGGCACATGGCAGTGCAGTAGCAGAGACAGGTAGACCTCAAGAGCTTGGTGGCTAGCTTGCCTAGCTGCAACAGTGAGCTTCTGCTTTAGGGAAACACCCTGTAAGGGAATGAAGTGGAGAGGGGCAGAAGATGACACTCCGTATTTTGCTCTGGCTTCTGTATGCACATGCATGTACATGTGTGCACACATCTACTCCCCCCAAACCAAACCGAAAAACAACAACAAAAACAAGCAAAACCCCAAACCACAATGGATTTGGGAGATGGCTCAGAAGGTAAAAGTGCTTGTAGGACACACTTGATGACCTGATTTTGATCTCTAGAACCTCCCAGCGGAAGGAGAGAATCATCCCTGTAAGTTGTCTTTCTACCTGGGGGAGTTAGTACTCACCTACCTTTGCACAGTAATAATAATTAAAACAAACAACAAAAAGCATGTCCTGTAAGGTCAGATTAACTCTGATGTTGTGGCACTCAATAGGACATAATCGAAACAAATAGTACATATAAGGGTTTGGCACTACCTGCGATTTCTTCCAGGTTCTAAATATTATCCCTTATTGAGGGGATACTGCATACAATGCACGCGTGCACACACACACTATTACTACTCATAAATGGTACAACCTCCTTCCACTCTTAATATAGGACACTAAAAAACAAGTACTCAGTGACTTTTAGAAAGATGTAAGTGTTCACATTATAGAAAAAAAGGCTTTGATGTTTAGAAATTTATATAAAGTTGATCAGAGTACTTACATGTAATATTGACAGATATGATTCTTTTTTTTAAATATTTCATTTTCCAGGGTAAGGAACTCAATGGCTATGTTTTTCTCCCCTTCTAGGGCATCCTTTTCCTTTTCCACCATTTTAACTCTGTTTAACTACGAAAATGAAAGAGTCAAAATATATTTCATATATAAAATCAATTTGGAACACATAAACACCAAGTAAAAGATCTCATCCAAAGGCTAATATAGAGGGTTCAGTAAAGAAAAAAACAACCAAACAAAACAACAACAAAAACCCCAAACATTTCTGTATGAATTATAAAAAGTTAAGTCTTCAACTCGGTAAATTCAGTTGATCCACAAATAAGATATTCTCACTGGCAACAAATGTTTACTGAAGATTCATTTACCTTTTCTCCTCTGTTTTCATTTAATATTTCAACTCTCCGACATAAGACTTTAATAGGTTCATTTAGCCGTCCACAGCCAATTATATCTTCTAAATACTCAAGCATACCCTCATCATGTTCAGTCTGGCCTTTTGGTTTCATCATAGCAATCTGTTCGACTTCACCCTTTAAGAGAGTCACATTCATACTCATTGTAAACAGCAGCTAAATCTCTTCATCAAGAATAGGGTAATCCCAACTAAATGACATTCATCAGGTCAGTTAAGGATGTTTTAGGCAAGGGATCTAAAACCCCTTTCATATATATTCTTATAAAATTACTGACAGTACATACCCACAGACCCACAGACCCACACAAAGGTACCCTATATTGTGGTTTTAAGTAAACAAATTTCTGTTAAGCAAAATTTGGTAAGGTACACTACCAATTATTACTAACAATTTGCTAATTGGGTCTCACATTCTAAAACAATTTTTCAAAAAATCTCATCAGAGTTAAACTGTGATGGGACCCCTGCCTGAGTGCTTATAGTTCCCCTCTCTATGCAGCTTTCCAACTTCTCTCTAAACCTAGTGAGTTTAACATGACCCACTTCATAATGACTAAAACTCACAAGTTCTGATTTTATAAACTGAGTCTTAACTTGAAAAGGAAATTCTTCTTCCCTCTAAACACTCTGACTACAGAGAACAAATAGCATTGTTACATGCTACACAGGAAAACTTCTGTTTGTAATCAATATATCAACTTTGAACTATAATTAAGAGCTTTGACTACCTAAAAAGAAGAACCTATACATAATCAGTACCCAAGGCTGATTTCCAGGTAACCAATTAATTTGAGTGAAGAACATTCTGTAGCGTTTGTTCTTTAAACATTTTTAACAGCAAAGAATAGACAGACAAGTGGGGGGAAAATCCAATTTTAACTAAATGGCCAAGAAAAGGAATTACAAGTTGAGATACTTTAGTGATTACCATTTTTTTTTTTTTTTTTTTTTTTTTTTTTTGTTTTTCGAGACAGGGTTTCTCTGTGTAGCTTTGCGCCTCTCCTGGAACTCACTTGGTAGCCCAGGCTGGCCTCGAACTCACAGAGATCCGCCTGGCTCTGCCTCCCGAGTGCTGGGATTAAAGGCGTGCGCCACCACCGCCCGGCGTGATTACCATTTTTATAAGTGAATGACTCAACCTTAAAAATTAGGCTAAAATGTATTGAAGGAAAAGAATCTAATTCAACATTTTAAAATCTACTCACTACTGCACTTTGTTGATTTTTAACAGGGTTTTTGTATGCAGCCCAGGATGGCCTTCAACTTGCAGAGCTCTACCTGTCACTGCCTCCCAAGAGCTATGGGATTAAAGGCTGACAGGTATACTTTTTAATAGTTTTAGACATCACCATAATGTCAGTACTTTGATATCACCAAGTATAGAGTGAAACTATGAAGCAAAATGCCTCGACTTATTCTCCTACTATATTATGTAGGTATTTATGAGTGCTTTCCTGTCGGTTCTCAAGTCTGCACCAACAATTGTTAAGTTTAGACAGGACCCAAACCCGAAGTATATCCAAAGCTTTGGATTATAATAGTGAATGTAGTCACTGAATAAAGAGTCTTATTCAGAGTTATTTAAGCAAGTTTATCAATAGTTGCACTACTGGTATTTTAGGCAGAATGATTTTTTCCTGGTTATAGTGCTGTGCATTTATATAAAATACTCAGTACCCATGATTTATAAAGTACATTACCTAATTCAAGTTGAATGATCTAAATGTCTATTTTAAGATGAATAAAAATAAGAAAAAAATGCCAAAAGAACCCACATATGAGTTAAATGACCACTAAGTATTAAATCTACATTTTTCAAATAATCAAAACCTGGGGTCCAGTGAAATCTGAGATTGGTTCCCAGCAGCCAATGTTTGAATAGCATGACATGTTTCCTGCGCAAACTACTTTTAGAAGGTGTATATAGTTATTACGAAGTAACCTAACTTGAGAGAAAGCATGGTAGGATGTTGAGCTGATTTTCTCTCACTGTAATAGTTGTTGAGTTAAAGACAAGTTCATTTATAAATCAAAATAGTTTCACATCAAGTCTCATGCAAAGGTATGTTTTAGATTGTATTACACTGTATTACTGTTTTTGCTTTCCTTTGTAGCCCTGTCTTTGAACTTAACAGAAATGCGCCTGTCTCCTCCTCCTAGGATTAAAGGAGATTGGCACTACCCCCTGCTATTGCATTCATCCTACGGACCAGTGACTGACCAGTGACTGAGGAATAAAGCACAACCAGTAAGGGCTTTACTTATCTCGTTTAGGACTGTGTGGCTTAAATACCATTTCATTCTTTTATGTGTAGGTTGTAGTGCTGGCATATATGTCTATGCACCACATACAGGTAGTGAGTGCCCCCAGAGGCCAGAAGAGGGTGTCCGATCCTCTGGGCCTGGAGTCAAAAGATGGCTGTAAGCTGCCAGGTGGGTTCCCTCTTAACTGTTAAGTCATCTCTCCAGTGCCAGCTGTGGCTTTTCAATGACAATGTAGAGCACCCCCACCCTCCTTCTTTCTGTTTTTCTTTGTTGTTGTTGTTTTTTGAGACAGGGTTTCTCTGTGTAGTCCTGGCTGTTCTGGAACTCGCTCTATAGACAAGGCTGGACCCAAACTCACAGAGATCTGCTGTGGGATGGTCTGTATGTCAAATGTGTGCTCTGATTGGTCAATAAATAAAACATTGATTGGCCAGTGGCCAGCCAGGAACTATAGGCGGGACTAACAGAGAGGAGAATTGAGAGAACAGGAAGGTGGGAAGACACTGCCAGCCGCTGCCATGACAAGCAGCATGTAAAGACGCCGGTAAGCCATGAGCCATGTGGCAAGGTATAGATTTATAGAAATGGATTAATTTAAGTTGTAAGAACTAGATAACTAGAAGCCTGAGCCATTAGGCCAAACAGTTTAAGCAATATAAGTCTCTGTGTTTACTTGGTTGGGTCTGAGCGGCTGTGGGACTGGCGGGTGAGAAAGATTTGTCCTGACTGTGGGCCAGGCAGGAAAACTCTAGCTACAGAGATCTGCCTGCCTCTGTCTCCTGAGTGCTGGGATAACAGGCATGCACCACCACTGCCCAGCTTTGAAATAATTAAAAAAAAAAAAAAAAAAAAAGAAAAAGATATTTAATTGTGCACGTGTGTCTGTGTACCCACAAAAATGCAGGTTTCTATGGAGTTCAGAAGGGTGTGCTGAATCCCCTGGAGCCAAAGTTACAAGCAGTTGTAAACTGGATTCTGGGAACCAATCTCAAGATTCTCTGCAACAGCAATAACCACCAAAGATCTTTCCCATTATCCAGAAAAAATGTATAGCGCCAATTTGAACTTTAAGGCAAGGTTACGAATCACATAGTAACAGAACAGTGATATCTAAAAGACACTTCAAGTTACTATACCTGAAGTTGTATGTAAAATTTCATACACTCTCACAGTTATTGCTACTTTCTATTGCTTAAAAGCATACTGGACAGTTTTTCTTTTTTGAGACAGGGTCTCTCCATGTAGGTCTAGAACTCAGGAGATCAGTCTGCCTCTGCCTCCTGAGTGCTGAGAATAATAAAGTCATGTGCCTGAACAAAGTTTTTTTTTGAGACATGATTTCTCTGCATAGACCAGGCTGGCCTTGAACTCAGAGAGTCACCTGCCTCAGCCACTGCCACTCAGCTCTGAACAAAATCTGAACACATTCCCTACTGTTGTATGAGAGTGCTAGGGCTGGGTATATCAGCCCAGTGGTAGAGTGCTTGCAGAAGGCCTTGCATTTGATCCCTAGCAACAGATGGAGGAAAAATAAATTAGAAATGGGCTTAGGTCCTAACTTAATGAAGACTTTACTGGGGAGCAAACAAGGATATTGTGATTCAGTTAAACCATTCTTTAATAATCTTATGTACAGGCACCTAGACCTAAAAAACCTAAAAGAAAGTTGGGTATGGTAGCACACACCTGAAATCCCAGCACTTGGCAAGTGAAATAAGTCCTTTTATTTTCATTAAAATGAATACAGATGGGGGTGGGTTGGCTGGAGAGATGGCTCAGCAGTTAAAAGAGTACTGACTACTCTTGCACAGGACTCAGGCTCAATTCCTAGCACTGACATGGCAGCTCACAACCATCCATAACTCTAGTTCCAGGGGATCTGACGCCCTCTCCTGGCCACCTTGGCCCCAAGCACACATATAGTACACATGCATACATGCAGGCAAAACACTTATATACATTATTAGATACCAAACCAAGAGCCTCATGTGTGCTAGACAATCAGTACCACCGAGCAATAGTCCAATCCCTGGGGCTTTGTAATTTTTATGTTGCCTAAATAATTTTCATTTTCCCTGCTTTCTGCTGCACTATACATTAACTTCTACCTTCCTCAACTACAGTTTACCCAAGCAAATCACCAAGGTTAGTATGTGTCCAAAGTATACAAGTGAAAAACAGAATGCTTTATGGTTGGTTTTCATGTCTATTCTAGGTGCTTAGGAGCAGCTTCCTAAGCTTGTTTTTCATAGTTGAGACACTGGATCAGACACCTTTGGAAAATTGAAATAATTACTAGTCAGTCAAAAGTTTCTTTCAAAACTTAAGTCATAGATTTGCTTTTTAGATTTTTTCCTTATTTCTACAGATTAAGAGACTACAACTAGCCGGGCGGTGGTGGCGCACGCCTTTAATCCCAGCACTCGGGAGGCAGAGCCAGGCGGATCTCTGTGAGTTCGAGGCCAGCCTGGGCTACCAAGTGAGTTCCAGGAAAGGCGCAAAGCTACACAGAGAAACCCTGTCTCGAAAAAAACAAAAACAAAAACAAAAACAAGAGACTACAACTAATAGTTTATATGCCATGCCAACTGTAAGAGGATATTAAAAAACATGGATAACAACTTAAATCTAGGTTAATCCATTCTCCAGAGTAGAAAACAGTAACAAAAATGTTGTTTTATTTTGTAATATGAATACAAAAAACATACAGGAATGTTGACAATCCAATTTCTATTTTAAGGAATTACAAAACCACTCCTAATATACCAATTTATTAATGTAAATTTGAAGGGTAACAGAAGTAGAGGATTTTCATTTCTCTAACCTGAATAGAGCAGAAGCATTAACTAATGGAGCAAACCAATAAAATCCAATTAAGTCACAGTCACCTATGAAATAACACAGACTAATAAAACCTTTCTCATTGGGACCAATAGTCTTGATAAAACCATTCAAACCAATGGCCAATCAACTGTAAGCGACTATTTTTGAAGTATACATGCCCAGTACATCTGTCCTCAAGGATAAAAAAAAAAGGGGCTTTAACCATCTTCACATTCTTCTTAGCACAGTGCCTCATTAGAAACACATTTGAATGGTTATTGAAATTTTAAATGGATCCATATACTAAAAATGCTTACTTAAAAAACACAACTCCATAAACACTATAAAAGTTTTAAAAATTAATTTCTAAAATTTAGTGCATTTTAATCTCAAAAATTTTGCTTTCTCTAAATTTGTATTACATGTGATGTAATCATTGTCACTGCCCAGTCTGTATACTTATGTCTTGGATGCTAATATTATGTATGATCTTCAATCTTCTAGCCATTCTAACTACGCGTCATTTTTAAGACAAACGTTAGTGATTAGGAGAATGAAATAGAAGCTATAATCTTACCTTCACATGCTTTAAAATCTCTTATTAGTGTAAGAGTCAAAGATTTTGATAAAGAGCTAAGAAAAACCAGAAACTACTTCCACTTGCCTTCAAATTTAATAGGATTCTATGAGTCCTACCTAGTCCAATTTCCACTTTTTCTTCCTAAAAGGTGAGTTGCTAAAGTTCTGATCTAAGTTCAATCAAATAAAACTGAATCTATTAATTTGGAATGTTTAACTTAGTATTCTTTAGTAAGAATGGAGAAATTTAAGAGCACAGAAAAGGGTTCAGATAATGGAACAAATAAGCATTTTAAGTACTTCAGAAGAATAGGTTTTAATATAAACTTGACACTTCGTAATTTATTTCTTTGGGAAATTGCTTTATCACCTTTCTTCATTACCAAATTATGTATAAATAAGCTCCACAAAAAACTTTACAAGACCTGAAATATAGTTAGTCTATTTTGCACTGGCATAAAACTGATCATCTCAGGAGAAAATAAGCAAATAGCAAAGAATAAACAAAAGATCAAGTAAAACTTCCTGCAAAAATGTTACCACCATTAAATTTAGTAAAGGAATACAACTTTTTATGCATAATTAATCAAGCCAAATTCTTGAATATGGAAATCCACAAGACAGTAAAATTCATTTCAAAAAGGAAAGCAAAAAATACCCACAATGACTTAAGATCACATCTATATAAATTCAAATCTTAGTTACATGCATATGTGCAACTGATTTCTTTCAGTATTTATTTTTAAGTAAAATTTTTAGCAGTTCATTGAAGTATTGTAAATGCAATATTCTGATAGTTAAGGGGTACTGATGGTTATTCCAGAAAATTTTGTCTTCTATACAATGTATGCTTAAAATAATAATAAAACCCTTAAGAATATACTCTAAAATGTGTGAAAAATTATGTTGTTAATCGGAACACTTAGTTACCACAACAAAATAGTTGATGTCCAATCAAAACTCCTAACTTAGCTGAAAATTAGTAGGCCACACTAGAGCCTATCAGCAGCTGTCTCTACATAACAAGCAATGTCTCTCTTTTTCAATCTGATTTATGCCCTTAGTAGCTTGGAATAGGACAAAAGAATAAGATGTCTTTAAATCACATCAAGAATTTCACAATACCTAACAAAGCCTATTTTACCAAAAAAACAAACAAACAAACTAACCCCCTAACCAAAAAAAACAAAAAACAACAACAAAAAAAAAAACAACAAAAAAACCCACCAACCAACCACTCCTCTATCTCAAATGACAAAATTTTCCTTGCATCAAATTATTTATACTAGCAAGATACACACATACACCCCAAAAGAAAAAAACAAAAACAAAACCCCAACAAAAGGCAGGGTCTAATAAAAATCAAATTAACACTAGGCACTTACTTAAATTTTATACTTCCTTTTAAAAAAGACTTCTCTAAGAGCTGATACTAATATTACTGGTTTAAGAATTAGGCCACCGTAAACAAAACAAGACCCATCTTGAGGAAACCTTTAATATTATTATAGATGTTAAAAATAAATATATCAGGTTTTCAGAGAAATTTGTTAAATATCAAGTAAATAGTTTTTATGTTAGAGAAAAATGAGAATAAACAAAAAGGGCAGACTATTAAAAGATTTCATATAAAATGTTATTTTCCAGGGGAATACAAATAGAAATGATAGTTGCTGTATGCCTGTCACACTAAAGCAGCACAATAATATTGGTGTTTAATATTTATTTCACTACGCCAATATTTACGTGCTGCTAGAGCGGAACAAGTATGTCAAATATCCAAATATAAAATGAACATGCGATGATAACCACATAATTTTGAATGAGTTTCCTTAAATTTCTAGAGCAGCAAATAATGATTCGCATCTTGATTTAGTATGTAAACCATGATGTGCTGCTACAGTACTTTAAGGTTCCAATACAGGATTCATCAAACAGAACACTCTTTCAAGCTTTATTACAAAACAAAAACTAAAAACCAAGAACCTTGGAAGTGTTTATAAACTTACCTGCAAGATTAAAAATCGATTATGGTCCAAGTCAATTCCATGGCTTCTAAGAAGATTTCCAACATCTTTAAATGTTCTCTTTTTCCCACTTATATGATAAACCGAAGTGTTATCTCTGTAGGCTGTTCTAGATACACAGAAGTTACTGTTAGGAATGACTTCATAATCATCCCCTTCCTGTTTTTAGAAAAAACAAAACCAGAAAACAGTTGGTATTAAGTCATAGCTCCGATCCAGATTCTATTATTTTACACTGAAACTAATTCAATGGATTAAATATTTCTTAAAATTTTTTCTTGTATTTTTTGACAAATTCAGTCATACACGTATAACAAATTTTAGCCCTTATCTTCCCTGAAGTAAATATGCACATAAACTGACAATTGTTCTAAAATGAATAAAAAAATATTGCTTTAGCAAGGACTAGCTACTTCTCCAAGTTGTTCTGTTTCTTTCTCAAAGATCTCCAAAACCAAAAAGCCAAATGAAGCAAATAAAACTTTACCTCTAAACAAGCCAAAATATATTTCAATAAGAGCCAAAGAAGGTGGACAAGAATTCCACCGTATCTAAAACAACCCCACCACACTCAAACTAATAACCACGTTGACTGGTTAAAAGGCTATAAAAGGAAGAGATGATCTAAGGAACATATTAAGGGGAAATACTTTTTGGTGGTGGTTTTGTCAGTCAGTGTGTGTGTGTGTGTGTGTGTGTGTGTGTGTGTGTGTGTGTGTGTGCGCGCGCGCGGTGGTGGCAGGACACAAGATACCCTCTGTACCTTCCTGAACAGCATCCCTATCATCATTAATTGAAAGTAAAGCAAACTGTAAAAATCTCACAATTATATACCTGGTAAAAGAAATCAATCATAACTCTGTTTTAGCAATAGTTTATTTTATTCTTAAAGGCTCTGTCAATTTTAGATGACTCAAACTTAACAAGCATTGGAATAATATCTGATTTATTGGCAATCTATTCTCTAACTTAAAAGTACAACAGAATGAATAAGCAAAATTAAGAGATGCTTTTGTGTAATTAAATTTCTTTATGTTTAAAATAAGAACAATCCCCCAGCACCTAAATTATCTAACCACTTCATTATTTGCATTTATATTTAAGGTTCTTTTCAGTTGCTTTTTGAATCATTAATTGTCTATGCTAATAAGTAAATAGATGAGAAAAAACACCCAAAGAACCATGTAAATAACCTGGTCATTATTTATAAATTTCCAGAAAACAGAAACACTAGCCTGCCCCCTACCATTTCAAAAGAAGGATCAAGGTAGTTCAAGCCTTAGAAAATTTTTTCAGATCACACACACACACACACACACACACACACACACACAGACACACACACACAGAGCTACTAATAACATATTTAATGTACACTGAAAAAATGGGGGTGGCAAAAATCAGTAAATTATTACATTTTAAAAATTAGAATGTTTATTCTAAAGCAATAAAAAATGTAACTTTAAAAATGAAGCCTGTATTTATAGTGAATGAATGCTTATGTAGCACTCAGGGTTCCCAAAAATCAATATTTTCTTTCAAAAAAAGTTGAAATAAATATGGTCACAGACGTAATCAATATTTCTTTTGCTTTAATTATACACAAAATGTAAGGAAACAATTCAGGTCAACAATAACAAAATGTGGCATGCTATTTCTCTTTCTTGCTTGAAGTTGCAAGTAGAAAATAATTTCTTACCTTATCAATTATCTTTTGAAAATGAACTTCTACAGTACAACTCTGAATATCCTTGTGTTCATCAGAATTATGTATCAATACTGACAGCTTTTTAGACCTTATTTTTTGTGCTCGATAGCCAAACACAAAAAGCATAGAATCAATAACATTGGATTTTCCACTGCCATTTGGCCCAATAATACAGGAAAAGCGCTGCATAAAAATAAATTTAAAAAAATTAAATTTAAACAGTCACACTAATACTACTAATTTTAAACTACTAGATACCTTAATTTAGAGTAAAAAACTAAAGGCATTCAAAAGTTTTGGTTATTAGAAAATATATAATTTTCTCTTTAGAAATAAAAGCAGTTTATTAAGAAAAGGAAAGCACTCCAAGAATGAGAGTGGGCTAGTGAGCTGAGGGAAAAGCATGCACCCCAAAAAACCCACTTTGAGTTTTCTTACATCATGATCTGCTCCAGCACAAGCTTTAACATCTTAAATAAAACCATATTCAAATTCTAATCCTGACATTTTACAAACCATTACAAAGGCCAACGGGGAAAACATTCCTTTCTAATAAAAACATAGATTCTATTCGACATGAAAACGTTATTGCTAAAGAGATACCAAAGATATAAGATAAAGAAAAACTAATTCCTGCTGTAGAAATTATAGGCAACATATTGTATGTGTGTCTATTAGGGTGTGTGTGGGGGTGGTAAAGAGTCAGGACAGTTAGAAAACTGAAATATCTTGCAATAAAGACGCATTACAAGTTTTCTAAATGGGCAAATACCTTATGGAAAGGACCCAGAATTTTCTCTCCAGCATAGGACTTGAAGTTTTGGTTTACAATATGAGTTATCATTAGCCGAGGAGCTCCAGCTTCACTGGCCATTGCTGGAGGCGGGGGTGGAGGAATACTATTCAAAATCTCTTCTAAACTTCTGTTATCAAGTTCCTCACCTGGAGTCTCTAGGTTAACGGAAAGGCAGAAAGGGAAAGCCTACATTAGTGTAATTAGCTGGAGGCCTACTGCCTGCTAGCATTTAAAGGACGGAATGGAGGGACGTTACTTACGAAACCTAGGAATCTATTTTCCACACAAATATATCCTAAACTCTCGGTGATGGATAATCTTTCAGCTTAAGTTTCATGGAAAATAAAATTCGTGAAAGAAATACCACCAGTCATAAAATTCACGGTTTTTCTTAGAGAAGTCAAAACACACCACCACAAAGAAAACCTGCGAATATCGCAACGAATGATTCTGCTTTCTATGGTAAAACAGGCGATGCAACCCAAACGATAGAAAATGCAACTCTACATGGCTCAGCACTTAAGAAACTCACAAGCTTCAGTAACACGGCCACAGTAGCTCTTAATTCCTACACTCGGAATGCTATACGCTCAAATTATATTTTCTCTTTAAAGGCAATCTAAAGGGCCCAGCTGTTTTTTCTCTTGCAGGGGACTCGCGTTACGTTCCTAGCACCCACAATGGGCGGCTCAGGACTGTCTATAACTCCAAGTCCATGCCCTCCACGTATGTGCGCCCCCCCAAAAAAAGACACACTTTAAAAAGTAAAAATTGATATTGCACCAAAAAAGGCGATCCAAGGGTGAGGTTGGAGAGAAGCAACTCTGCATCACATTCAGTCCAGATTAGGGGCGGAGAGGCGCTCCTAACTCGGCTGACCATGCCGCTTTTAGCCGAAAAAACGATAAAGACGTCAGTGCTACTCCAAAACATCACAGAAATCCACAACTCACGTCTCCCGCTCACCCTCAGCCCTTCCAGAACCGTTACAGCCAAACTGCATGGAATTCCTCTGAAAACCGCAGAGTGGCTTTCCGTAGCTGCACTTCTGACAACCCCGACCTTCCGACGTCAACCTGTCGCCTGCTCCCCCGGCAACCCCAGCGGGTCTCCACAGGCCTCCGACGCACCCAGGTCCCGGCCGGTCGGTCACTCACCTGCAGCTGCTGCAGCGCTGTCCGCTCCGCCGTCCGGCTGCTCCGGGTCCCCATTGCTGTGGGCGCCGTCCGGGGAGGGCGGCGGCCCTTCCTCCTGGTGGCAGACCGAGGAGGGCTTGGTGCCCTTACGCCGCATGGTGGCTGCGGCAGGAGAGAGCCGGGAGTCAGATCGGCCCGCAGCTCGCCGCCGCCGAGGGCCCGCCGCCGCACGGGCTCCGCCCATGACCCACCCGCCACCGCGTCCCCCCAACTCCGCTAGCAGGTAGCGGGGGTCCTCCGGAAAGTGGCTACCATGAACACCGCGGTAGCCACCGGGCGGGACGGGTTTTCCTACGACCCAGGTCAACGGGAAAACCTAGCTGCGCCTGCAAACGCGTCCAGGACCGCTCGCTCAGGCCACCCGCCCCGGCGGGGCCATCGCTCACAGCGGAGGACATCTGCTGACAGCCCCACGCCGTCGGGGCTGCGGATGCTAGCGCTCGGGATTACACAGAGGAGTTCGTCCAGCTTCGGGTCTGCGTGGCTACTCTCTAGAGCAGCAGCGCCTGCCCGGCGACCCGCTCTCCTCTCCCCGCCATTTAGGTCCTGACGCCCGGACGGCCGGGGGGAGTCGAAGTCTCCTCTCCTCCTGGCCCCAGCGGAACGGCTGGCCGAAGCCGGAGTCGCCCGCCACACACTGTTAAAGGGGACTCTGGCGGCGTCCGCTCCGGATGGGTCACTTTTCCGGACTAGCAGGGGTCTATCCCTCCCGGGCCCGGGGCGGAGTCCCGTTCAACAGTAGAAACCATGCCAAGTGCCCAGAAGAGGCTGAGCTGGGACTGCGGTCCCCTTGGAGGACGTGACGGGCAGGCCTGGGGGGACGCCCCGGCCCCGGCAGGCTCGCAGCCTCCCCCAGGAAGAGGCGCTGGAGCCGCCGCCCGGCGGCCGAGGGGGAGGGGTGACAGGCAGCCGCGCTCCCCAAGCCGCCGCCGCCGCACTTGGCCGCTCCGGCTCCAGGCCTCCGTTCCCGACAACGGCGGGACAGGAAGAAAAAGTGTGACCCTCCTGATCCAGAAGAGCAGTACTGTACCTGTCGGCAGGTCTACTCCGAGCAGGGCTGCAAACCGTGCCACGGCCGCCCCCCGCCTCGCTCCTACCGGTGTTTCGGCTCCGGGTCCTTCACTCGAAAATGGCGCCTAAAATCCAAACTCGAACGGAAATTCGTTACAAATGCGCGCAATGCTTTCTGGGACCCGCGAATTTGAAAAAAAAGTGCGGCGATTCCCACCGCCATCTTCGGGCCGTTCGGGCGCATGCGCGGGCTCTACCCGGGGCAGTGGCGCGAGGGGGAAGTTTCGATTGAGGAGGGAGAGCAAGCGGAGGGGGGGGGGGGTTAACGCCTTTCCTATGGTCCTTAACAGAAACAAAGCTATGGAAACGACAGCCTTTTGCATGGTTGGGACGACAGCATTTGGAAAACTGGGGAATTTACTGGGGAATTTTGATAAAGAGGGAAAAAAAAAAATACCCGGCAGGGTCCCGCCCACAGCTGTAGGCGGGGCCCCGTTGTCCAATCACACCCTTCAGTGAGAGGGCGGGCTCATTTAGGGGCGGGGTCTAGGGCCCGCTCGAGTGACTGGCATCTGGCAAGTATCGCGGGAACAGGGAAGGGGAGAACGCTCTTTAGCGCTTAGAAATCACTATGGTGACGGAAAGGTCGGGAGGCTTCTTGGTAACTGGTCGTATCTCTGAGAGCAATCTCCACCGCTCTCCGGGAACTTGAGGTAAATTTGTTCACCTCCAGATCCTTTGAAGAAAGGGCTTGGAAGCCGTGGCGGTCACTGGAACCCACCTTCCCTTGCTTTGAAGGCATGAGCTTTGCGGGGGATCAGTTATTTTCCATCTTCCAGCCCTCAGGGCTCTCTGTGGGTGTAGATCTTGGGATGTGGAGTTTACCGGTAAAGCGAGGAGCCTGGGATTAGTGAGTAATTTTGTAGTCCACATATGAATAGCAATGATTTTTGAACTGTTTTGTGTTAGTGTCACTAACGAAAGGTTTTGGATTTAAAATAATTATTTGGGCAACAGGGCTCCTAATAGAGAAACGATTTGCTGGTGTTAACTAGTTACCATTATGGTGGAATTAGTTCTTAAGTAGCATATGTGTGCATTGCACTGCGAAAGGTATAACCAGGATTATTAAACAGATGTGACAATTCCAATTCCTGGAGAATGTAGTTTTGTTAATAGACTTTTAACCTGAGTTTGAGGATGATGGTGGTTGGGACTGAGTTTCTAACTCTCCGAAAATTGTATACAAAGTTTTGTGTGTTTGTGCTTTGTTTTCCTGGAGGGTTAGTTTTCCTTTAATTTTGAAAAAACGGTCTGAATCAGCTACCCTCCGAAGTGTTAAAGAACGACTGATTGGTTTGACTGCCTTTAGTATTTATACAGCAACTTTTAAATTCAGAACTGCTAGCCTCTCTTTTTCTCTTTACCTATTTAGGGTCTGGCATATTAGAGCAGCAATAAACCTGTTTTATGAATGAATTTACATTGTTGCTCTGAAATGTATTATGGCTCTTAGATAAATAACACTTAGTTTCAGTTATTCCCAGGAAGTGCTGGAGCAGAGGACACCCAAGTGTAAAAATCTGGTTGGAGCTTGGAGATTGGTGTGGTTTGAATAAGCATTCGCTTACGACTATAATGTACCTTTGTATTTGTAGTTGAAAATAAATTGTCCTCATAAAACAAATGTCACCATAAAGCTCAATGAGTTTTTTTGGGGTGTGTGAAGGACTGGTAGGTATACCAAGAGAGTAAAGGGATTCTCTTTAGGGGCTTCGGGAGTCCTTTGTATTTTCAGATGTTGTAAAATACTACAAAATTGAGTGGAAGAGATACCTACTATGAAAAAAGTAGACTGGGGCAGGGTAGATGGTTCAGTGGTTAAAAGCACTTACTCTTCTTGCAGAGGACCCAGGCTCAGTTCCCAGCACCCACATGGCAGCTGTAACCATCTGTAACTCCAGTTCCAGGAGATTCAGTGTCCTCTTTTGACCTCCTGGGCAGGAGGCATGCTTGTAGTACACATTCATACATGCAGATAAGACACTCATACATGTAAAATAAATACAATAAAAGGGTAAACTAGACCACATTGAAAGGTGTATGTGCTAGTCAGAACAGAATTTAGTAGAAAAATATAAATCGAAATCAGGAAGGCTGGAGAGATGATTTAGCAATAGAGAAACTTGCTGCCTTGCAGAGGAGCTGGGTTTGGTTCCCAGAACCCATACTGGGCAGTTCACACCTGCCTTTAATTCCAGTCCAGGGGATCTGACACCCTCTTCTGGATACCAATAGTACTAGACACACACATACATACATACATGCAGGTACTCAAATATACACATTAAAAAATAGAAAACAGGGGCTGGACAGATGGCTCAGAGGTTAAGAGCACTGCTTGTTCTTCCAAAGGTCCTGAGTTCAATTCCCAGCAACCACATGGTGGCTCACAACCATCTGTAATGAGATCTGGTGCCCTCTTCTGGCTTGCAGGGATATGTGCAGACAGAACACTGTATACATAATAAATAAATAAATCTTAAAAAAAAAAAAAATAGAAAACAATCCAAATCCTATTATTTCTTTGGCTATATAATTGAGCAGTTTACTCATAAGTGTGTCTGGGAGTGTTTATTTATAAAAATCAAAAGATAATGCCTATCATAGAATCGTTTGTAATTGTTCATCTAGTCCTGTAAGTATTTGATGTTACTATGTGATGACATATTTCAAGTATGTGCTAAGCATCCATAATGCCATATCAAATTGAGGAAGAGTAGCTACAAACTGGGTGTGGTGGCTGTTTCTGTAATCCCAGCACTTGGGAGATGAGGCAGGAGGCTTGCCTTGAGTTTAGACTAGCCTAGTCTACATAGTGAGTTGGAGCCAGTGCTGTACGGGGGTGGGGTGGGGGTGGGGGTGGGGAATGAGGAAAAGGAAAAAAATTATTAACAAGTACTAAGGTGGGATATGTTACAGGCAAAGAGATCAGTAATGGCTTTAGTTAGACTGTTACTAAACAGTCTTTCGTGTGGTAGGTGAGGAGTACCTTTGCAATAGAAAAGAAAGAATTCAGTTATTTTAGACAGACTATTGCTTATATAGATTTGGGTGGTTAGGAGTATGAACCCTCAAGACAGTCAAATACTGCTCTTTGTGAATCTTTGAATTAGTGACAGAGTAACAGGAAGAGCATAAATCCTAGTTTACTGATTTGGATGATTCCTGTCAATACGGAAAGTTTTAACAACTAATGTAGAAAGAAGTGATTTTTCAATAAACAGTTTACGTAATGGCAGCCTCAAATTTAACTTAACCATGCCCTCTCAGACAAATATTTTTCTTCCTTTCTTTTCTTTCTTTCTTTCTTTTTTTTTGAAACAGGGTCTCATATAGCTTAGGCTTGCCTTGAATTCACTAGCCAGGGCTGGCTTTGAATTTCTAATTCTCTTGACTTCACCTACTTAGTTCTGGGATTAGAGTCAAGCGTCATCATGCCTAGCAGCATAAACATTTTTGTAACAACTAAAATTAAGTTACATAATGAAGATGGTTTAGTGGTTAGAGCACTGGCTACTCTTCCAGAGGACCCAGGTTCAATTCCCAGCATCCACATAGCAACTCACAACTGTCTGTAACTCCAATTCCAGGGTATCCAACACCCTTATATGGACATATGTTCAGGCAAAAACACCAATGCACATGAAATACAACAAAAAACAACAACAAAAAGCAAAACAAAAAACCAACCCATTATGGATAGCAAATTCCTGTAATGCCAGCACTCAGGTAGAAAGGCAGGAGTAGATATAACCTCCAGATTATTTTACACAATTAGTTTAAAGGTAGCCTGGACTACTTTGAGATTCTGTCTCAAAAAACAAAACAAAAGTGTGGTTGTGGTCATCCAGGCCTTAACTCCTAGCACTCAGGAGGCAGAAGCAGGTGAATTTCTGTGAGTTCAAGGCCAGTCTGGTCTATCCACTGAGTTCTAGGCCAGCCAGAGCTACATAGTGAGACCCTCTCTCAAAAACCAAACAAAAAACAAAAACTACAGCAAAAACCAGAACAAAACCAAAAAGACATTAAAAATGAGTGTAATTTTTTTATGTGTGTGTGTGGTGTTTGTATTTGTGCTGTGCTCAGGTGTGTGCCTATGTAGGCTAGAGGTAGATATCTGGTGCTTTGCCAACTGAGGCATTTCTTGGTTCCATTAATGTAATTTTTTAGAAGATATTAGGAGCACAAGAAGTGAAGGCATCTGGCTAATTGTTGCTAATACTCCTGACACTTCTCCCGAAATTAACAGAATCTCATTCTAAAGAGAAGGCCATCTAGAAAAGACCAGCTTACAATCATAACCAATCATCAGTTCTGATCATAACCCAAATATTGGGAAATATGGTCACTTCTTACCTTCCAACGTGATCTACCAACAGCCCTTATCTGCTGCACCAGATGGTCCAAAGAAGCCTTTTTTTTTTTTTTTTTTTTTTTCAAAATGGGAGCACCTGTCTACAGTCCCAACACTGGTAGTCTAAGACATGAGGATCTTAAGATTAAAGCCAATCTGAGCTATGTAAATGATCCTATGTTAAAAAAAGGAAGAAAAGTAAGGATTTTTCTGTAGAAAGAAATAAGAATTTTCATTCTCAGTCTTTAAGAGTCTGGTTGAGTGTTGTCATAATTACAATAATGTGTGTTGTGTGTACCTTCTAAAAAGATTTCAAAAAGTCTGAAATTAGGTTTAGGAGTAAATCTTTAAAAATTTGTAATTATAAGCTTTAAATCATCTAGATACTGGCTTATAAACAAATTTATTTGAATAATGCATAGTTAGACAATAGTGTGCAAAATTATTGTCACTAGAAATAGGAATGACCATTCCTGTTGATAATAAAAGTCCCTGGAAGAGGTAGCTTAGTGGTGATGTGCTTGTCTGAGATGATTGACATCTTGGGCTGGATCCCTAGCACAGGGAATTAACAAAGCTTTGTAATATATTAATCATACTGAAATAAGTGTTCACAGAACTCATCTCCTTAAAACAAAAAACAAAAACCTCTGAGAAGCTAGGAAGTAGAACAGTTGTTTTCTGGAAATTTCATTTGAAAGATAGAATTGTGTCTATTTGTGGGTGTTATGGAAAGATATATTGAGGAACAGTAGCACTAGAGAATAGCTCACAAGAGAAAATAGGACCCTATAATTGGATACTAGCCTAGTCTGGTGTCACTTGCCCGTAATCCCAACACTAGAGTGGTAGAGACAAGCCAGTTGGGTCCA